GCCACTCCTTGCTTCCTCATAAATATGCTGTCTAGCATATCGGGTGTTGTTCCTCCTCCAGCAATGCAACCTTCCGTGAGAGGTAGATGAGAAAGTTTTTTCGTCAGTGAATATTACTCTTCCCCAGAAATCTAGGCCTTCTTCAGCATACCATCGAGCAAACTGCAACCTGCCCTCGCGATGTCGCTCATTCAACTTCTCCTTGGTGACGGGAGTTCTATGGTGAATGCCTCCTCCGTTAAGTCTTCGCCTGATTGTTAAAAGGGAAATATTTAATTGGAGATCCTCTCTTATTGAAAAAGAAAGTCTTGAAGGGGTTGGCCTCAGCGAAATTCCGGATGGATTCAACTTGTTCAGGTGTTGTCCTGGGCGACATTCCCGTCCTGTGGTGGTCCTTTAAACTTCCCTCCTCTTCCCGTCGCTTAATCCAACAATATACAGTTGATCGACAAACCCCCAATTCTCGGGCAATTTCATGCCGATTAGTCTTCCACGTTCAGTGATTTTCTGCGTGTGGTATTCCATGTTAGCAGGGGCCTTCTACAACTGAAGGACTGGAAGGGTAGTCAGCACTGACTCCACCTTTCTCTCTCACCTTCCCGCCAATAACGCCAGCGTTATATTTATATTTTATTAGGCATTTATAAAAAATAAATGAATAAATAAATAAATAAGTACATAAGAAAAAAATTATAATACATTGTAGGGGTATCGAGATATTAATGTTGTCTAGCACTCAGGATGGAAGGAAACTCTATAGTGGTTTTCTTGTATAATATAAGTTATATTATAGACAGTCTGGTGCTGGAGGTGTTGCTTGTTCAGGAAGATGGGCAGAATGAGAGTTGGTTGGTGAGGAAACTCAGAGAAGGACAGCTGGTGGGTCGCCATGCTCGCTGGCGGGAGCGAGGACCGCCAGGCAGGCGAGGAGAAGCGAAGGGAGCCAGGCAACGGCGGAGGAGGAGGTGTTGCTTGTTGTAGAAGTGAGGCCGGAATGAATCTCAATGGAGAGACAGAGCTTATATACCCAGCAGCCGCTATGAGTCATGTTGGGAAAACCCGAGAAGTCGCTGGTCTTTTGGCTCGGTTGCTAGGATACGGCGGCATTGGAATGCGGATACGCTTGGTTGCTAGGGAAGACGGTAGCAGCTGGTGGCTGTGGCTACGCAGTTGTAGGGGAGACGTCCACTACAACATCATTCATATTTGTTTTAAATATAAAATAAAATATAACATGTTAAAAGACACCAGACTAAAGGTGACCTAATCCACACAAGTCAGAAACAAGGATATGGGGGGGGGGGGAGAGACACTTAACGAAAGAAATACTATTTGATGTTTACAATATTCAGAGTTTTGGAATGACAATGATATTGCGAGATAAAGGCTTGTAAAAGTATAAGGCATATCCTCCCTCACTAATTCACACCATGAGATGGATGGTTCGTAAGATTAATTACCATCACCTTCAATTACACAACGTCATTATTAAACACATACACAGACTGATACACACACACACACACACTCTCTCTCACTCTCTCTACATGCACACACACTTACTACAGGTAGCAGTGAACCGATGATTCTGCTTAATCTCACAGCGAATTATAACAGCAGTTTGCATTGCATGAAATCAACGTCTTTAGAAAGAAGTCTGTTTAGCATCGGTTACATACAACTGGATTAATTACCCGAAATGGATTAATCGTTTGAAGATAATATTAGTATAAATTAATGATAAACAAGCAACCTCATAAACAGCCTGCACACAGCTGTGCCTGATGCATGATGTTCTTTAACATGCTTACCGATTTTTACTTATGTTTAATTGTCTAAACATGAATTCATATAGGTTGGCCCATTGCTCTATCCATTTTAAAATCAAATTAACAGTATATACCAGCAGAAAGGTATAATATAATACGAAACAACAAAGCCAAACCATTAATTAAGCAACGGGGAACTAAGTAACCAATCACCGATCACTTTTACATCCATTCATAATTTTTACTACGTAGTATAGTAAACAAATAGCCTTGAGTTGCCAGCTGTCTCCAGCAGTGTTCGAAGAATCTTGAACGAGACTGTACACTGCATTTTGCTATGAATAACGGATTTTATACACCCACTCAGTCCTTTAGAAACACAGAAAAATAAAATAAAACTTTCTTTGGGGCGGTATTAGAATGCCTTTAAGGATAGCCAAGTTGATTTTATTTTATTTTATTTTTATTTTCAACTAGTGTTTCCTTATACTTTCTTTTCCGGTTCTCATCGATGACTATATCACTTTGTGCTATCACTGTGTACACTGTATCTCCCTATGAATGGTGTATTGTAGGCACAGTTTCAGTCCTCGAGAAAGCACACAAACAAAATAAAATTTAAAGTCTCTGTGGCACCTGTAACACGACTTGGTCTCTGCTGGCAGTGGTGCCTTACCAGCCTGCTTGCCAGTTTGTATTCACTTTAAGTTATTTACAACCTCTTCCGTAGTCACTGATGACACTATGAACTGATTTACCTAAAATCACAGTACTACACTCCCTGGTTGGCCTTTATCACAGCCGTGACCACAACTCCGTAAAAAAATAAAATAAAAGCTTTGTCATATGTCAGTGATTTTGTGGTTGTAGGCTGTAATCTGTATGCCTCCTGACCAGGCTGTACCTCCAACTCGGTGGAAATTGAGTTTTCAAAAATACAATCGCGTCTAGCATTAAAAATCCTACATCGAGTCAATGGGTCTGGTCTTGGGTATATATTTATCAATCAAGAAGTTCACTTTATTGATTATGAATTTCAGGGTAGTATCCTCATATTTGTTTAATAGCGAGTCAGGCCAGTGAATACCCCCTCATATCTGTCATCGTGTCGTAATCACCATTGTAATATTTGAACCTTGGCCTGCTCTTATCATTAACCAAGTAACAGTTAATGCTCAAGGACAGTGTCAAAATGATGGCTGGTGCAGCAGTTTGGGTGTTTCTTTCCCTCTATAGTGAGTCGAATGTTGACATAGAAAGTGGTTTCTCAGAGTTTCTACAAAAAACTAGCAGGATTATTAAAGGTAATTTGGGGTAACTTCATTCCTTCAGTCGGTGTTGCCATAGTTGAAATCCTCCATGACAAAGAGGTGGCTAGAGTTGAGCGCTGTTAAATTACCTATTAAGGCTCTTAAGTACCCTTCGTTTAATAAGCTGTAATTCGGGGATCTATAGATACATCGCAAAATAAGTACTTCTCTCTCCATCAGTTCAATTTTACACAACTTCGGATTTTCAAACGCGTCCTCTCCTTGCACTCTCACTTGCATGGCTCTACGGTCCTGTCTAGATTGGCAATGGTAACTGTACCGCTCAACAAAATGTGTATCATGCAAGTATGTATCATCAGATGTTTCAATGCAAGCTATTTGATTTTCTTTTGGCATTGGATCGAAAACATATTGAAATGTCTTTCGCAATTTGCAGAGATGGAGACGGATTTTGAGGCAATCAGGTTCAAACAGTGCAAGACAGTGTAGGTAATATGTACATGGAGCAGGAGCACAATTTTGAAATGTAGTTGCAATACCAACACGTTTACTTTCCACTGTGCTGGCTCCATTATAGCTTTTACCAAATCAAGCTGAAAAGTCGTCACAATGCTTCATATGTTCGGAGCAAGGTTTTTCCAAGCCAGGCTGTTAAGAGTAATCTCGCCTTCTTTATCATGAGAATCTTTTCTTGCTCTTACCTTACAGTATATGTCCGGGGTCGAAACTGGATCTTCATAGCAATTCCAAACTCCAGAATCATTAAGTAACACATATCTTATTACAACTGCAAGCTGTTGTATCTTATGCGAATGCCTGTCTCGTCTACAGGAGAATGAAATTTTTTTATGGAGTGTAAAAACAATAATACAGTTATTATCTGTCAGTAGCTGTACAATAATGTTTTTTTTTTATATATAAATTTGTCAAACATAGATCGTTATGTGTATTTCAGATGTTCGAGAACACATTATAGTGGGATTCTCGTACAATACTTCATTATTATTGACATTTTACATACAGATATTTCGGGTCACTCGGAAATGATTACTGAATAAAAAAACATATTTCTATAAGACTGGCTAATCAAAATTGTTGGAATAAATTTCACGATGAACGCTATACAGCATTATGAGTAGTAATGACTGTCTGGCAACTCTTTCAGAATTGCATGCTAAATATATAATGTTTTCTGATGAATGTTTTCTAATGGTACGAATAAAAATTAACTTTAGGAATAGGAAACTTGGTTAACTTCATGATTAAAGGAGTCTGTAAAATTAAAGAATATATTTTATGTTATGTCAATTTGAACGCCAAGTTTATATAATAAAACTAGATAAGGTAAAATTAGATATTAGCGTTAACCGGTTAAGCTGAACGGGATCATTATGATAACTTATTTCTGAAAAATAGGGGGATATTAAAAAATCCTGAACTTCAGAATAGCCCTTGATAAGACTACTAAGAACAATGGAAGGGTTCTACTAGCCTCCTTCGCTCGGCATGACCGCCACTTGGTGTGATGACCACTAAGTAAATTAGGTTCTGTACCGCTGAATTGTAAATGGTATGTGATTTTTAATGTTTTGTTCATTTCTATCATGTAAAACCATTTTTTACAGCATATAATATTCCACTGAATTCGTATAACAAAGTTCCCAATAAAGAATAATTCGTAACCATTTCCCCTTAAACAAATATTGAGTAAATGTTAAAAAATTTTACGCTTGTGTGATGTACTGTTCAGTCATCCGGATTGTTTTCAACTGCTGCTGTATCACGTACACCTCACACTTGTCATTTCCTGCAACCTTGTGCTTTACTGATGATTGCAACATACAGTAATGTTCTCGTCACCTCGCCCAAGCGGCTAACAAGCCGATCAGTGGCGAAGAGGATAAAAGTAAAAAGTAAATAATGTACAACTTGTGAGATAAAATTGTATCGCTATACTCACTGAAACACTGTATTCCTGGAGGTCTTTGTCACGTTATAGTTTGTGTTAGGAATTTGCTCGTCAGTGTACGTGTTGTGCGGGAGTGCTGGTTCTTATCCCCCAACTGGAGATGGCAAGTCATGCCAACTACAGCTAAACTGGGAGACAACAGCAGGTGAGAGTTGGGAGACACTGTAATAGCGCTTTTCTGAACCCAAGATAGAAGTTCCACAGTCGGGGCCCGCGCCAGCCGCTCCTGGAGTTGCCATTTAATAATAAACTAAAAGACTGCCATATTATTTTATTTGTTGGGAGACTAATGTTTGTGATATAACTGAACCATACAGGTATTCTATTGAATGAAATAATATTGTTTTTATGTTACACAAACACACTAACATGTTCTTTAATACACATAAAATTACTCTAAGTTATATAACTGTAATTATGTAAGTTATTACATATTCTAGTACATTGTTTAAAACTAAAATTATATGTTTTGCCACACATTCACTGACAGACTTCTAAGAGTACTTCACAGCAGGTGTGGATTTTTATTTAATCATAAACGTAAAGTATGGTGTGAGCAGCATGCTGTGTGGCATCATCGAGTGTTGAGTGAATGACCTTGTACTGTGTTACTTTACTTTTATCCTGTGGGGTTATGAGATATTGGTTCACACTTAGCATGGGATGGAGAAAGGAAACTTGTGGGGTACGGGATGTTTGTTTGGATTCACACTCAGGATGGGATGGAGAAAGGAAACTCACAATGTGCTCTCTGTATACATGTTGTATTGGATGTACAATGCAGCTTGGTGCTGGGAAGGCAGCATGGTTACAAGCGTGATGTAGAGAGAGCTGGTTGGTGAGGGTGCTCAGAGGAGGACAGCTTGTGGGTTGCCATGCTCGCCGGCAGGAGCGAGGACCGCCAGGCAGGCGGAGGAGGAGGAGGTGTTGCTGGCTGGTTCGTGTAGGTAGAAAGAGAGAGATCAGCTTTGTTGTTGTTGAGATTGTCGGACCGTAGTCCGACACGGGCCTTTGCCTATAGGCGGCCCGTTTGGTGGTTCCGGCTGGAGCTCCAGGAGCAGCCAGACCGGATTGGGATTGGAGGTGGTCCCACCTGCAGATTGGAAGGAAACTGCAGGTTGCAAGTGTGAGCGGACCCCCGATCAGTGGACGCTTACCACCAACCCCCACTCTTGGACGTGGTCAGTTTCGGAGTGGCGCGCCCCCCGAACTGGGGTCAGCACTTGCTGGGAGAGGATACTTTCTAAGCTATCTGGGTGGTGGGTATCGTGTGATGACCCGGAGTAGGTGGTGAATGTGGTCTGTTTGGGCCTTTCGGGTTAGAGTGGCCGCTGGTGTTGTGTGTGTTTCTTGGGAGATTTGAGTTCTGTTTCGGAGGCTTTGTGTGACCTCGCAGTCGAGGAGATAGTGTTCAAGTGGGTTGGCTGCTGGCTCCTGACAGTAGGTGCATTCCATGACGTCATTTCCGATCATCTGCCAGGAGCACTTGTACCCTAGTCGTAGTCGATGAAGGCTGACTTGGGTTTGTCTTGGAGTTTTCTAGTCAGCGAAAGGTGGTTCCCCTTTTGTAGCCGCCAGGTACCATTTGGCTGATTGCCCTCTCCCTTGTGCCATTGTTGGCCATCTTCCCGGACCGGACCATCCACGACTGACATCGTCGACAACAACTCACGAGCGTTTTCGGTTTATCGAGCATTAGCTTGCCCTCCCCACTGGTGGTGTGAGTGACCCACACTCCAGCTGGAGAGCAGTTATAGCGCGATATTCCCGGCGTGGTTTGAGCTCTTTTCCTTCTACTGCTATTTTTCCTTTTTCGCTCTGGCCTAGGGACCTGCACCCTCAAAAGTGTATTCGTCCTGCGGTCCCCCCTGTAACTGTTCACCTTCCTCCCAGGAGATTGTGAACACGAAAGGGGGTTGGAGCAAAACCCATCCCAGCCGAGTCTTTCCAGGAAAACCGTGATCGTGCGGGTCCACCTGGAAAGAGGGTAGCAATCCTTATCCTTCCCAAATAGGCACACTTAGCTCACGTCTATAAGTGAGCAGTCACTTACACTAGGAAGTAGGCTTCCCCAACAGGGCTCCGGGAGAGAAGCTCAGGAACCACTCTACGACCACCAGCCAGTGGGGAGTGCTGAAATTCCTCTGCTACTTACTCAACCAGAATAGGTAGGTTTTAATATAAAAAAAAAACACCACATCAACCACCGGTTATGGAGCGCGTACGCCCTCCTAACCGCGACCCCCGCCTGAACCGCCAACCTGACGACCCGAACCACGACAGGCTCCGCACAGAGAAAGCGGACCAGTTACGCGCCTTCAATGAAGCCCTGAAAAGCAGGAACACTGCCACCACCTCCAACAACACCATCACCACTGCTACCGCCACTGAGGACGACAACTGGACGAAGGTAGAAAACAAAAAACGCCGACGTGCTTTTTCGGGAAACGAATGCCGTCAAGCAGCCCAAAAGGCACCCATCACCACCACCAGCTCACCTCCAACGACACTGCCAAAATTTCGGATCACGAAAACGGACACAAAAACGACATATGCCGCCATCACAGAGATGGAAAAGCTAAATCCACTGGCCAAGTTCTCAGTGCGGCCCAACCTAAAGGGGGAGATGATCATTCACCCCAAAGACAAGGACTCCGCCACCACCCTCGACACTTACCTGCAAAACACCACCACCGTTGCATCAACCAAGCTGGACCCCGCCCAGAAACTGATGAAGTCGGTAGTCCTCCGGTACCCAAAGGAACTACCCCTCGAACTCCTGGAGAACCACCCGAAGATCCTAAAAGCCGAGAGATGCTCTCCCCCGTCCGACAAGACGGCCACCACAAAACAAGTGCTCATAACGCACTACGGTTCACCCCCCAGCACCATAGACCTCAAAACCTGGGGGATCTACGAAGTGAGGCCCTTCGTCCCAGAGCCCCTGCGGTGCTTGAGATGCCAGAAATACGGCACCATCAGACAAGGTGCACGTACAAGGAAATCTGTGCAGTCTGCGCACAGAAGCACGGCACACACTCCTGCCTCACCAAGTTGAAAAATGGAGAAAAAATTGCCCCCAAGTGTGCCAACTGCTGGGGCAAATACCACGCCTGGAATCCTGGATGCTCCGAGAGGACAAAGAGGGTCCAGGCAAACCGACCAGCAGCAAGACCGGCCCCCACCGCCTGCACACCAGCCCCACCAAGTACCTTCGTGTGGGGAACCCAAAGGCCAAAACAACAAAGCCAACCTCCTCAGCCGGTCAACACCCAAAGTGCAGCCCAGTTTCCTGGCCTCACTACGGCCACACCTCAGCCACCCAAGCAGCAGACAACGACAACCACGAAAAAGACAAAAGAAGCACACACCAAGGCACCAGAAGAAATGATACACGTACCGACAGCTCCCAGAAAGAAATTGGACGTTTCAACTCCCCCGAACCGAACCACGGCCCAGAAGGCAAAAACCACAGAACAAGAAGATATGAACCTGATCCAGTTGGAATCGAACTTGGACATTTCCATCGAGGACCACCAGAAGTCCCCGATGAAACAGTGGTGGAAAACATCAGCACCCTGAACATCCTAACATGGAATGCTCAGGGCATCTAAAACAAGAAACACCTCCTGCAAGAAGCAGCAGCCAAAGACAAGCTTGACATTATACTGCTACAAGAAACACTTCTTCAAGAACACCACTGTTTCAAATTCAGTGGTTACAAGACATACAGGAGGCATTTCACGCAGGCGTCAACAAGAGGATGTATGATCTTGGTCAAGTCAAGCATACCCTCCTCCGAGGTCACGCAGCAATTTCCATGTGGGGAAAACATCGAGACAGGCCGTCAAAGTAACCCTCCGAGAACGGGAATTAACTGTTCACAACATCTACAAGAACCCAAGGGGCTCACTGGAGGTGACTCAATTATTTGCTTCGGCCGCAGACCACGCCACACTCATAGGAGGGGATTTCAACGCACATCATCCCTTCCTAAGCTCGGTAAGCCCCACAAATGAAGACGGCCTACACCTATACACCACCTTTCAAGATACACCCGAGATCTGCCTCCTGAACACCGGAGAGCCCACCCACACTAGGGGAGGAAGGCTAGATCTAACCTTCGTCTCCAGTGCACTACAGCCTTCGGCCTCCTGGCAGCTACACCCCACGCTGACCAGCGACCACTTCGCCACCCTAACAACGCTGAAGGTGAACAAACTCCCCACTCCACCCCCTCCGAGATGGAGATACAATACCCAAAAGGCAGACTGGGGACTCTTTAAGAAACACCTGGCTAAGTGGCGCGAAAAATCACAGCCGGCCGGCGCAGCACCCGTGGATGAGACAACCCTCCACCACCAATTGGTCGAGGCGTTTCACCAAGCGGCAGAAGAGGCTATCCCAAAAACAAAACCCACATCAAGACAGTACAATGATTACTGGTACTACTGTCCCAGGGTGAAAGAACTCAACCACAGAGTGAACATGGCCCGAAGAAACTACAGGAGACATCCCACGGCAACAAACAGACATCTCCTGCAAGTCATAGTTAAGGATACCAGGGAAGAGAAGAAAGAAATAAAAAACGTAAGCTGGCTCAAGTGGTGCTCCGAACTGAACGAGCACACCTCCCTTGGCAAGATGTGGGCCCAGATCCGAAGGGCATCTGGGAAGGCAACACCACCACCACCAACCCATCCCAACCCAGAAGAGGAAGCCGAGAGACTTGCAAAACTGTTCTCTGACCGAGCAGCAACGAAAAACCTCCCGAGACAGGCGGAGGAGACACAAAGGCGTCTGCGACAGGTCAGACTGCAGATGATCGAAGAGGCCTGCAACAGTGAAGATGACACCGACAGACCTTTCAACCAGCAAGATCTCCAGAAGTCACTAAAACGAAGCAAGGACACAGCACCAGGGGCCGACAGGATAACCTACTCCATGCTTTCCCATGCCGGTACAGCCGGACACAAGGCTCTACTACAAGTCATCAATGCTTCGTGGACAGCACAAAGACTCCCACCGGAATGGAAGAAGGCAGATTACAGCCCATTCCGAAGCCCAGAGAACCAGATAAACCGAGGCCCATCTCCCTTGTCAGCTGCATAGCGAAGACGGGAGAAAGAATGGCTCTCAACCGACTCAAGTGGAAAGTAGGCAGCCCACACCCTCACATCTTTGCTTACACCGAGAACACCGGCACAGGCAACA